TTTACTGTCTTACACTGTACAGAATATGTTGTGTAAAGTGTGATAAGCCGTATTCTTTAAACTCACTGAAGAGATCGATATACTCTTTTCTTTAATTAAATAGTATACAATTTTAAATTAAATAGTGATCTCAATCTGTAGGAAACACAATCATTAAGTCTTTTGTACCTGTCTAATTAGCCACTGTATACCATTTAATCAATATTTGCAATAATTTCGAAGAAAAAGACTCGTCGTACTTTAAATGATTCATTCTATATATGTATGTTATTCTATGTATAATTTTAAACGTTAATTCTTTTAGTTGTGAATGCCATGGACATGGATTCACTTGTGATCCTGTAACAGGAGAAAAGTGTAATTGCGGTAATAATACGGAAAGTGATCCAACTTGTACCAGTGGACCTATGAAGGGTACAAATACTGGTGGTTCACCATGCTGGATGGTACAATGCAGTAAATGTAAAGAAAATTATGCTGGTAGACCAATCATGGGTCATCAATGTTATAAGACTGTAACAGCTGACAACAAGATGTGTTTTGATTCTAAATTAATAGGTGAGTTATTTGACGAGATAATGTAATTTCATTGCCATATTAGTTTGGGTGTTTTTTTTTGTTTAATCAATTTTGCGGAATAGAAATTCTATTATTCTTTTCTTAAATTTATCTGTTACATGTATTTCTACTATATTTTTCATATCCTTGTATGATGTATTTTAATGAAGTATTACTTTTTATGAATCGTAACATTTTATTATGTCAGGAGGACCTTATGGTTAGTACTCCGCCACTTGCGAATTACGTATTGTTTTTTTATTCATTTCTGCACATTTATATATAAGAAAAATAGACTATTTCTAATAATTACAGATGAATGTAAAATGAAACCTAAACCATTGAATCCCGGTCAAACGGTATTTTATATGGTACAACCTCGTTTCATGAACGTTGATATTAGAGTTATGGTGGATGTGACTCAAGGGGCTTTAGATCTATTCCTTAGTCCTCGAGATGATTCTTTTGTTGTTACATTAAATTCAACAACTGGATATCAAGATGTACGGATGTTTAATATTCCTTTACTCCTATGTCATTAAATATCTTCTAAACTGCGAATTATCTACAGGTTGAATTGGACAACAGATTCGCATGGCGAAAGGATCCACATAGTATGTGGTTAGACGAGCATACTCTTAGTCGAATGAGAATTGTCGAATTTCACCCACATACGTTTTCGTTTGCTTTAAATGGCACTTCTACCGAACCGAATTGGAATACCGGTCCTCGGTACATTGTAATGGAACGTTACGCAGAAGGTTTGGCCACATTTTTAACGATTGAGAACAGAAGTACGTTCTTAATTGTTAGGAATCTTACGAATCGGTTAGTGTTAACATTACCACAGGACAAACATGATCTTCTGGAAACGAAATTTCATATCGCATTGAGGGCAATTGATCCTATACATCCAGAAATCAGTGGTCGAGCTGCTTATGGGATGATCTTCTTTCGACAGGATCAACTTCACATTGATTTGTTTGTTTTTTTCTCTGTATTCTTCTCTTGTTTCTTTTTATTTTTAGCCAGTTGTGTAGTCGCGTGGAAAACAAAACAGGCAGCAGATGTTCGAAGAGCACGAAGAAGACATGTTGTTGAGATGTTGCATATGGCTAAGAGGCCTTTCGCGTCGGCTACCATAATTTATGATCGAGATGGTAACGATTGTAATCCGAGTTCGCCTCAGAGAAAAAACAGACGTAATAAATTAGTTAGTTTTCATAGTGACGTCAGACCGGTAGCAGTTGAGCCTACCGATGATGGGGTTGCGGCTGTGGCCACTGTTTTCATTAGATTGCCTGGTGGTCGACAAGCTCCCGTTAAATTAGCTCTTGGCAGTTCATTGATATTGTTAACTAGAGTCTATCCAGTTAACAGTAGAGTGTTCCTAAGACGTAGAAACAGCCACGCGTTGAACTGAGCTTCTTTCTGTAGACACTCATTTTCGCTATTTTTAAGTCTGTTTATGCTCTCAAAACTTATAGTAAAGGAAACGTGTATCAGTCATGTTTATTCTTTATCTTTATCGATTGTCTTTCGTTGATCTCATCTTTTTAATTGTCGATCTACTTGTAGTATTTGGAACGCGATTATTATTCAAATTGCAAAATTTTTTATGAATAGCATTTATATTTCATGAATTTAAGTAAATCGAATCGACAATTTTATTCATTGAATTTTAATAACATTGTTTGCTTTTTGTTATTAATATTATTCGGTATCCGCCAGTAATATGAAATTTTAGTTTAATGGTTGTATTATAGTTATAAAGAAACAATTGCAAGGGTATTTAAGTGATAATATATATAAAAAAACACACACACAAACATATATACACACACATACACACACATGTATTGTCATACCATTCCATGACGAGACTGTATGTTTGTATATAAAGATCTGTAATTATGTATTAATTCGTAATTTACACGATTTTGTAGAAGCATTTTATGTAACAGGACATGGTTTTGTGTCTTGGAACATTCGTAGCTATCTTCGGAAGAAAGTGGATGATTTTATTCATGTTTTATGAAATTTGGCCTAACCATCTATTGAAACATACGTGCAAAGGGAAAACTAAAAAGGCAGCTGCAAGTATTCTAATTATCAAAATATTATTTCTATGCCAATTAATTGTTTTAAATGAAATTGCAAAGAATTTTAACAAAACTGAAATTTTTAATCATTAAAATTTGACTAAATAACTGAAGCTGATTTTTTTTAATGTTATGAATAAATTATGAAAATATTAGCTGTTAGATTGTAAAGCTTTGAAATGGCATAATATTTCAATGCAAACGCCTTTATGGATTACTTGCAGAGTAACAAAAACGCAGTAATAATAATAATCTGCCAACTACTACTGTCTTCTAACAGTTAGCAAACAGGGTGATTTTCGAATACGATGCGTATACAAAAACATATACGTGTGTTTGTACGCTACGTTAAAAAGTATTGTTAGGCCTGCGATCGACAACAAATTGTATCCGCATCATTAAAAACGATCAGTATTAGAAGAAGTTGATTAGAAAGAAGCTCGATAATGCGTGCGACGTAAAGGTTCCTATGCCAAAAAATTGATGGGGAATAATATGAGCGTCATAGTATAATGATATATTATTTATGACAAGAAACACTAGAGGTGTAAAAGATTTTAATTAGAAAATGTTGTAAATACGAGAAGTGCACATTGCAAATGTTAATAATCGACACCGTATAATATCAATTGTAAAATATTAATAGTACGATATTATCAATATCGACTTAAATCTGGTGAAACGGAAAACAAAACGTGCCCTTTATCAAAGATGATAAACCAAGGTTTCATATTAATCAAAATATAGGAATAAAAATAAAACTAGGGTGTTGATATAATGATATTAATAACGCGTACTTTAAGATAATTGTAATAAGCAAATTAATTGAAAAAGTGAGCGATGTAGTGACATAGGTGTAAATATCACGTGGCGTTTTTTGCTAAGCTGTTACGCGGTACCAAACAACTTTAATATATTCTGTACAGATTGTTTCTCAGGATAGTTGTTACACAGCTTGAATATTTCCTACTGTATTTGTAGAAAACATTTTCAGAAGTAAAATATTTATATATTATATTGTTCAATCGAATTTTTTTAATACAATTTATTTTTTATTAAAGATATTTGTAATTAATATGTATAATAATATTTGAGTAAAGTTTTAACGTATTTATTTTTGATAAATAACATAGGATTAGTAGTAATATTTTCTAAAAGTACAGTACAGAAATTTTCAAGTTATTTTTGGGAGCATTCTAATTATGTCATCAATATGTTGTAAGAATGCACGGTTGTTCCTTGACTGTAGGAACGATGATACACTGAGCAATCGTTAAGTGTTCATATAAAAACGCAGCACGTCCTGCATATTGAATCTCTGAATTTATGTTTCTTTTTCATAAGTCTCGTCATTGTGTATCTCGTCAATTAATATTTTTGTTACCTCTTGCTATATTTATCTGTCTTTCTATCTTACTAGTATATCTTTCTCTTTGTTTCATTTTCATCACTGTGTACAATTTTATTCGTTTACCTTCATGCGACCAACTATCCTAAATATTCATCGTGAGATTTGCGCGACAGTTTGTAAGCATATATATAAGAATAATACAAATTAACGTGTATGTACATTTATATAGGTCTACGTGAATAGAGATATATATTATATATACATATATACATACTATGTATACACAATGAATGTATAATTCCTTCGGTTGTACAGATTTGAGCGTTATCTCCAAAATGTTCTATTTTATATATAATTATTACATTGCATTCAATGTAAGCGATATCTTCCAATGCCGGCATTGTATCATCGCGTCAAAAAATGTTTGTAACATTACGAGGCACCATCGTTTATAAAAGTGAAATGGTTGTGAAGTCCAGGTGTCAGCATCCCTACAAGGATTTGCCAGCTTCGTGGATTTATTTGTATTATGGGGAAGAATATGAGGTTGTGCTAATGAAGATTAATGAATTGTATTGAGAAAGCTTTAATAAACGTGTGTAAAATTGGGTTTCACGTGATGAGTTTTCATTATCTATTTTATTATCTACACTTGCCGTATAGATGCAGTAAAAAATTAAAAATTGAATGTACTATCGATTATAAAAATTGTCATCTTACATACATAATATTTAAAATACTAATATTATATATATAATAATTTGAAGTATCTACAGTAAAAAATACATGTAATACGTAGGTATATCTGGTTACTATAGTAACTACGTATCAACAAATTTCTACCTTCAAGGTTTGACCAAACACGCAATCGAATTTGTATATAGAATGTTCAAGTTCCTTGATATTAAGTGCATGGTAATTTTGCATGAAGTTGCAAACATTTTTGTATGTATATTTAGATAGAAGTTAGGGTGACAAATAAATATAAAATGAGATTTAAAATATCTACACAAAATCGTAATGGTCACAAACGCTTAGTGACTTGTGTAGCATGGAATTCTGCGGAAGAAATTTATTCGTGCGGGTATGATGTGGTAATTGTGAGAAAATAACAAGTAATATAAGAGACTTTTTTACAGAGAGGATCATTTGTTAATATCATGGCATTTGGAAGGTGGAATCGCACATTCCAGTATTGTTACAGAATTTCCTGATGACTTTTATCCGACGGATATGCAATGGCATCCTCGGCCAAATTACACAGCGTTAATTACCAAAAAACAATCATTGGATGTACTGTTAATTACTACAGCTGACGGTATTCATTTAAATGTTTAAATACATGATTAAAATACACTATATGTCAATTCTAGTTTCAGTTCTCAATATTAGAAATTTCAAAAAAATCTGTAACAGATATTTATTGCTTATGTTATTAGTTTTCTCTCTGATTTCTTTCTTACAGGAAAATATCATTTAGTTAATAAAAATGGACGTATAGAAAAGAGCATAGATGCTCATAAAGGAGCAACAACTGTAGGCAGATGGAGTAGTGATGGCTCTGCACTTTTAACTGGTAGTTAAAATATTTTAGATGAAGTAGTCATTCAAATAATTAGTATTTAGTTAATTTTTTATTATATTTATAGCTGGTGAGGATGGTCTAATAAAAGTATGGTCACGTAGTGGCATGCTTCGCTCTGTTGTAGTTAAAGGCATGTTTCCTATACTGTCTGCTGTTTGGAGTTCAGATTGTACATCAGTATTATATTCTCAAGGAGCTTATTTAACTTTTCAGTCACTTAATTCTAATTCCAAACCTCGCAAGGTTAAAGAATTTTAACAAATGTATATAAAATTTTGGTAATTAAAGAATAAAATAATGTTTTATTTTAGTTATTAGCACATGATGGTTTAATATTGGTTTTGTGTTGGAGTCATACTCATGGACTAATAATTTCTGGTGGAGAAGATTGTAGATACAAGGTGGAACATAACATAAATTTGACGTAAACATTTAATTATCCAAATGACAAAATTATAAGAAACTCAATTTTCTTTTAAGGTATGGGATTCTAATGGTACTCAGCTGTTTTCTAGTAATATAGGAGATCACCCTATCACAGCAGTAAGCTGGAGTTATTCTGGGGATTACTTTGCTGTTGGATCATTTAATACAATCAAACTTTGTGATAAAACAGGAGTTAGTTTATTTTATATATTTGACATATTTTAGTATTTACTTCTTTTATTAATATGTCTATGCTTTCAGTGGTCTCATTCATTAGAGAAAGTCAATTCTGGTAGTATATACAGTATTGCTTGGTCAAGTGATAGTACTCAAGTAGCTATGGCTTGTAGTAATGCAACTGTGTTAACAGGACATATAATAGACAGGTATAAAAAACGTAGAAATGTATTATTATTTTATGTTGTTATATTTATATTTACATATATAATATGAACGGAAAACAGGAGATTGGAATGGAATAATTATGAAGCCATATTGACCAAAAGAAAAGTGATTGAAGTCAGAGATGTGGGTAATGAAATACGAGAAACATTAGAAATATCGGATCGCGTGGTTCAATTAGAATTTGGTTTTGATTATTTAGTTGTAATTACACCGGCACAGTGCCACGTATATTCTGTAGTAAATTGGAATACGCCTGCTATATTCGATTTAAAAAATGCTAGTGTATCAGCAGTACTTCTTGCAGAAAAGTATATACTGATTTTATTTGATACATAAAAAATATTAAAAATGAACGAAATATTTATAAATGAATTGTTTCATAGGCACTTTTTATTAGTTGAATGGAACAGTATTTCGTTGTACAGTTATCAAGGTCGTTTATTAGGAACTCCAAAATGGAGAGGAATGACACAGGAACGACTTTATCCCCCTTGTATATCACTATGTTCTGATACCTTAGTTATACGATCGCAAAATAATGAAAAATGTACGATAAATTTATCAATGGTAAAAAAAAAAAAATTATAGATGTGTAATAATTATTATAGAAAGTTATTTTTTAGTGCTTCATGTACTGGAAGTGGCTTACAACAAACCTATAACAGAAAGTCAAACTTATACGCATCTTCAAAATATTTCAAGAGTTGCATTAAATCATATTGGTGGAGTTACTGATCGACAAGTAGCATTAATCGATATAAATAAAGATTTATTTCTAGTTTCTATAAGGACCACTGGTTTTGGTAGAGTATGTAAAATAGGTATGAGATATTTTTAAAAAGTTTTCGTACTTACATGATTTTTTAATACTATTTCTACAGCTCATTTCATTTTTTTAGCTGCTATGGCGCAAGATATTGCATGGGCAACTGATGCAAATGTTTTAGCGGCAATGTTGGATGCAACTCTATCTGTATGGCTGTGTCCTAACTGTGTGCACTATAGTGATCGTAAAATTATACGAAAAACAAGAATCGATAAGGAAAGCAGGTTTAACTTCATAATTCTATTGTATAGAATGAGATTCATTGGTTCTTTTTAATAAAAATATGCATTTTATGAATACTTTTAGTGAATTCGGTAAGCAACCAAGTATAGCCAAGGTCTATAATGGAATAGTAATGATACGACGTGGTGATGGAGCATTAGTAGCTTCTTCCTTTTATACGTTTTTTATTAGTCTTCATCAACATATACTCAACAAGAGATGGAAAGAAGCACTATCTCTTTGCCGAATCGCTCAGGTAATTTATATCTATTTTCACTTTTCTTTTTCTTTGTAATAGAAAGTTTTTCTTAATATAAAAACTATCGATAGAATGAAATATTATGGACTTGCATGGCCGTTATGGCTACTGACAATAAAGAATTGAATGCTGCAGAAGAGGCATATGCAGCTATTTCTCGATACGATAAAGTTGATTACATTCAGTATATAAAGGTAATAATAGAAATATCAGAATAAAATCTGTGATTCTGTAAATAAATCGGTAATTACAAATTTTTGAAATTAGAGTCTGCCAAATAAGATAGAAAGACTAGCAGAAATGGCGCTTTTGTCGGGAGACCTGTTAACTGCAGAAGGCATACTTTTGCAAAATGGATTAATAGACGAAGCTATACGAATTAATATCGAAGTATACAATTGGAATAGGTATGTTTCTTTATTCAGAAAGGGATTCTTAAACAGGAATATTGCTACTTATAATTTATTAATTATTAATTTAGAGCATTAGAATTAGCGATTAGACATAAAAAGCAACTAGATGAAGTATTAAACGCAAGAAAGAAATATCTTCAAGTAATCAATAAGAAAGAAACGAATCAAAGTTTCCTTGCATATATGGCGAACATTGCAAAGGCACAAGTATATTAAATAATTTTGCTCCATTGCACAGTTTTGAATCTTTTGCACATAATTTTGTATCTTTTTACTGACCAGTGAGACAAAAACTATTTCTACCAGGAAACCACCGTAAAGACTTCCTTTAAGGAAGATGAAGTTTTATTAGCAGAAATGGAAACACAAAAGAACGAAACGTCGGATCAAGAAATACAAATCTGAAAGAGTAATAGTACCTTTGTTTATACAAATTATTTGTTAAAATATATCAAAATAAAATATAACGAACCTGCATTTAATGATACCTCAACTGAAGAAAATTTCTAATTACAACGGTGAGATAAGTTGTTGCATGGTAAATTATTCAATTTTTGAAATCTAATATAAAAATATTTTACATTAATAAAGGTTCATATTTAATTACTATATAGTAAATGTTTTTTTATGTAATTATATTTGATACGTGTTACAAAACTAAAAGTTTTAAAAATATCGAGATTATAAAAATGACCATAGTAGTGAATATAAATAACAGTACAAGTTTCCGCGAGTACCACACTGTGTCGTTCGTTACTGGTCTGTACCTTGTTGTTAAAGCAGACTGAAATAAAAAGTATATCGTCTCTTAAAATAAAATAATATTTAACTATTTTTATATTTTTAGTTTACAGTCCATTTAGTATTACCCATCCACCGTTAGCTTGAATCCATGCAGCAAGGTCTTCCTCTAAAACATCCGTCATACCTACAAGTAAAAGATCTTAACCATCGTATAATGTTAAATATTCCATAACGATTTAAATTAATTTTTTCCAATCCTTTTAAATAATTGAATTTTTTCAGTTGAATTGAAAGAAAAAGGATCAAGATAGAAGAAATAACATCTTAGTTTTAAAATAACTACCTCTCTGTATAGCAGGTAAATATTCAGGTTTACCCTGTCGTACGCAATCTACGGCAATACCACCAGCAATCGCGTAAAGGGCTATCACTTTGCTCCAAGTCATCTCTCCATTCCTGATCATCTCTCTAGAGACTTCGACGATGGCCTCGTTGGCAGACTGTTCCGATGAAAAGCTACCGCAACCGATTTGTCGTGCAACGCGATTGAATAAATTTGGATGCATTTTCTCGAGTTCAGCGCCGACTGATACTAACTCTGGATAAACTTCCCCGACAACCGCACCGCCAGGAAGCAACATAGCACTTCTCATTCTTTTCAATCCAAGCTTTCGGTGAAAGATTCCAGATCGTTTCAAACGATTTCGAATATATTGGGCACATAATGAGGAGCCCTATGTAATACATATATCAATTAGATAAATTGTCATTGTACTATTACTTTAAATTTAAGTTTCGATTTTTAATTTTATCTTCAAAGTAACAAATATGTATTATCTGTTATTTTTTTTTCATGTAACTATCTACTTTTTACTTGATTATAATAATTATAATTGTATACCTGTGACACTGTAAGTTCGATCGATGCTGAAACTGTTCTCCATCGAATCGTATGAGAGATCTTCCTGGAGACGACATCGCTAACATTACTAAATCTCCTTCGCGCTGAATCTACTACATGAAAAGGCGAGATTTCTTGATTGTTAGCAACCGGAAATGCGGCCAAATTAGAGTGTAGAGATAATGCGAGGCTGTTCCTGCGATACGATTGTCCGGTGTTCCCAGAATTTTCCTCCAAGCCACGTAGACTCCCGACTAGTCCAGACATTGATGAATCCTCCGTGGAGAGTTGCTGCCATTCAGGCTTTTCAGGCTTGAAGAATTTTAATGGGCATTAAAGAACTTGACATTTTATCTCTCAAGATCAATAGTTCCTTCTCTTCCTTTCGTAGAAGAGCAAACTGAATATTCAGCTTCTTGGAAATTTAATACTCTACACTTATAACGTATTACAAATACTGTTTTGCATATTTTGTTATATTCTAATAATATAAAATAGTTAAAATATTATAATTCATATATTATTTTCTGCTGTAAATCATGGCAAGCTGGATAAGTTTTCGTATGATAATTTTATAATTACATACTGTTCCCCTCAGGAGTGCAAGAAAGAATAAAAATAGTAATCAGGTAATACAAGTTTTTTATAGAATGCTGAAAGTAAACAGATATTTGTTAACAAATTAGTGCGTGTTAACAAATATTTAAACATCAGTCGACTGTAGCCTGCTTCTTGTGTAAGTAATTCATTAAAAATTAATTTTTATATTTATAACTCAAATGTTTGTAAAATGTATGAAGGCCAGTTAATTGAAAGATGGCCACAAGTATTCACAAATAGATTACGAGTTTTAAATTTTGTTTTATTGGTCTATGGATTAATAGATGAATCAAAATAAACTATTCATCAGCTCCATATCGATTAATTCCACGAAACAAAACCTAGAAACCTAAGTATAAAAATTAAGCACCGATCAAGTGTTTTGACATTGAGATCCTAAAAATTCCTAAAGGTGGCATTAATCAGCTTGAATGTCTCGCGTCTGTATCAGCACTTTAAATAGAAAGCTGATCTGTGATCATCAACCAGTCGTTCTGACAATAATTTACTTTTGCAGGAACCTCCTGGGAGTTGCAAGGACACGTCGAGGCTCATCGATGAGTATCTTCAGTTCCATTATGGCAATCTCGAGACACATGTATGCGAACAGACGTACAGGTTGCGAAAGAGGGACGTCGATGGATTCTTCTGTCGTTACAAAAAGCCATGGTACATTCACACCAGGTATCCAAACGCAATTATTATTCCGCAGGCGACTACAGCTGTTGTTATCTCGCAGCCTTATTTAGCACAGCTATTCGACGTGCTACGCGGTGCTTTGTGCGCCAACTAAGATACGCTCTCATTGTGTGTATATTACTCATTTTCATTCCGTCATTTGCCTTCTTAGCGAACGAGATTAGACACGGCGGGTGTCATTTTTGAATTAACCGCGATCTCGGCGTGGCCGATTGGAGAATCACAGTTCATTGGTCCGTCTAATTGGAATAGCGCGTTAATCAAGGTGTTCATCTAGCCTCGCATTTATGGTCGCTGTTCAGTTATAACGCGATCGAGGATGCGTTGATACACGCTATCTAGGTATGGATATATATACATTGGTCATTAGGTCGAATTTATTCATGGATAGCGATGTGGAATGTTGGAGAAGTCTGTGGAGTTTGTATGATGTTGTAGTTTAACACAGGAAATACCAGACGGGTTAAAATGATTGGTTAATGTTAGTTAATTGCTTAATAAAGGTAATACTGAGTTTCATTCAGATAGAAATGATTTTATTCAATTATTTTTATTATTATTATTATTATTATTTGTGTGTAATATATTTAAATACGTATTACAGGGCGGTAGTTCTGGCGTTAAGATGCAAATATTGAATTTTTGATTTGAAATTGAAAGTAGATTACAATTTATGTTATAAGAAAGGTTTGGTAAGCGCTAATAATAAATATTATTATTATTATTATTATATTTTTTCAAAAATTTTATCAAAATTAGTTAATATTGTCTGTTAGAATATTTGTAAAAATAGAGTTTGTAATGTCTTTCTTAAAGACTTTTATTAGATACTGCTTTTGTACTTTAGTATTGCGTCATCTCGAATTAAATCTTTTTTAACATTAGTACTCCTTAGTAGTAAAATTAATAGAAAAATAGGGAATGTATTTGCGTAGAATGATTTTATTTAACATTAAAGAGAAAATTTAAGTTTGTAAATAAATGAATCGTATGTTTATTAGGTTCTATAATTAAAGACTAATATCTCCTTGTAATAATCTCGTGACTTTATAATTAAAAGCCAGTTGATAAGAAAAATCATTTTGCCTGCACAGTGAGGTCATAGGTAACACGTGAAAAATTAATTGCGCGTTGTCTGTACTTGTTTCGTTCGAGCGTTCGTCAGTTATCAATTATCAACGATGTTCAGCTGGTCGATTATCGTTGGAGAGTCTACGTAACTTTTGTGTTCAACAGTTTCGTTGCGCTTGCTGTCGCAACTTGCTATAGTTCAATGTAATTTTTGTAGTATTTCAATAATATTGGAAGTCTGATCAATATTACAGACGAATATCTTTAATTTTTAGAATTGAAGTTAGAGATTTAGAATCGTTCGTATTAATTGTGCACACAGATATATAAGGCCAATATAGTATACAAATAGAACATCTAAAATACCAGAAAATATTTTTACAAAATTTATATTTCCTTCTAATAAGAGATTTAATCCCTAAATACTTTCTTCATCCCTAAATACTAATTTCATTTTTTAAACCTTGAACTACAAGACAAAATACTTTAAACTTACAGATAATAAATTTCCGAAGAATTGGACCAGTGAACAAGAATAAAAATGACTAATCGAAATTCAAGACTCATTCAAGAAATTAAAAAGAACTCAGATATCCATTAAGAAGAGGTATCCTATGCTATAGAGATACAGATAAGAAAGATTGTACTGCAGCTGCTTAACTCGCACTTTTATCAAACACTCATTACGAGAACACCAAAGCATTAAACAGGTTTTTAAATGAATGAATAAAAAAGAATCCAAGATATTAAAAAAAAAAAAAAAAAAAAAAAACACGAACGTCGATTAAGACATTAGTGACATGAATAACAAACGTTATACTACAATAATTATCAAACATCCGACTCATGTAGTACATTATAATTTTTAAGACTTGTCGAGTGACTAGCTAAGAGACTTTTTGAGAAAGCACATTTTGTTTGTTAAACAAAAATATTCCTCATATTAGTAACTCTTCCTTCACGATCTTAACTTATATTTACTTAAATGCAATTGAATGGCAAAGTCCAGTAGCGCAATACTGCAGAAGCACAAATCATTTTAACACGTTCCGTGCCGCGAGGAATATCAGTTTTAAAGCTGCAGATAGAACCTTGAAGAAAGTCAAGAACTCTCGGTAATAATATCCAATCATGATAAATAACAATAGATACGAAAAAGTAATAAAAAGATAATAAATAGGAAGATAATATAATACTTAATCATAGAAAATTAATAATAGTCACAACTTCTTAACACAATGTATGCCGACCCTGCAAAGTTGTTATTATTATTATTATTCCTTTTTTGTTTGGAATTAATTTTGGAATTTAACGAGAATACGGTACACTTGTTTGAAATATAGATGCACTATTTTATGAAGATGTGAATTACGAGTAATAGCTAAGCTTCAGCCGGCGTACATTGTGTCAACACTTTGGTCTTCTGTTCTAGTATCGAAAAAAGAAAGCAGAATATCTTTAGTCGCCTGGCAAAGGCGTTGTCTTCAATAAGTATTACTCGTGGATCCCTCGCAGCACCAAACAAGTCAAACCTGCAAGCACGAAGCGGAGAGTTGAATGAATTTACCATCAGCATGGCTGCCTCTTCTTGGACCCCCAATTGAAAGTCCGGCTTCATAGTAATTAACGCCGAGCCGCCTCATTAGTCACTGTCATCTAACTTGTTCCTCATACACATTATATGCGTAATATGCCTCTGAATAATCGCTTATCAACGGTGTAGCTGGCCGGTTGATTATCGTTCGAGGAGTGTGCGCGACGGCGCGTTAAATCGTTTGTTTTATCAATTTCCAAGGCTTATTTCCGTGCTGTAATGATGCCCGATAATGAAGCTGTACGCCACTTTTTACATTTTGTACACGCGTTAGTTTTTCGTCGACGTTCGAGGAAGAAGTCACGGGCGATGATAGCTGTTCTTCGTAGATCGAGGAGACGGAGAGGAGAATCATTGATGTAATTGATGCATAGAATGGCAGACGCGTGTCTAATGAGATTCAAGTTACGCTTAAAGTACTGTAAATTGATTTATGAAGCTGCGGAGAGAACGATGATGGGTGCTTGGATTATTTTTAGAGTGCGAGAGATTTTTCTTTTAAAGAGATTTGAGTAATATGTGTTATATATTGTTATAATTTTTGTATAGTGTACTCACTTCGTTCTGTGGTTAAGTCAATGAAGTCATTTGAGTCTAATTATTTACTTCACTTCTTTGGAGGGACAATATCTTATTTAGATATTCATTATCGTTTTCTTTTTATGGTTCTATTAATTCGTCTTAGGTCTTTTTTGTTAAATAAATTAGCTATAAAACCTGAACTCGATAGAAATTAAAAGCTTTCAATTAATCGATAATTCTCATTAGAGATAGTGAAAAAGGATGTTTAATGAGGCGAACGTAAGTTAAGAGGAAAGTAAATTAAATTAATTGGTAATTGGAGTATCGAGTAGCTTAGGATAGCAATTAGTTAAGTCTTAAAAAGACATTTCTTGGACGGAAGTAGAGCAAAAGAAGTATACTTTGACATAATTTCCACGGTCCCTTTAACTGTTTAGTGCGTAGGCACGGTCGCATCAATGTAATTAATAGAACAAAGGAAATGTGCTTTTCTTCACAAAAACTAATTTTTCACAAAAGTTTTAGAATTTAACGGGACTTTTGTTATCTTTTTAATGTAATTAAATATCAATATTAAATTTAATATATAATGTGAATTAATTCTGATGTAAAAAATATAACTCATACTTTATTATTTTTATATTTAAAAAATGTTTCATTTTTAATTTTTTACATAAAATATTGATATCTAATTTCTAATAAAATATGATCATCTTTTATAATTTATATGGTCAATGGTATTGATAATTATAATGTATAATTTATTTTGAACAATTTATTATAATTTGCTACATAACAAATAGAAAGGACAAGTAGAAAGAAACTGCGACACAATATGATTGATTTATTCTTTAACTTTGAATAATTATAGTAAACATTCATTTTTAACTATTTGTTATGAAAATATGGATTATAATTAAGGTTATAATTTCAAACAATAACAAACTTAAAAAATTTTAATTACAGAAATTATTATGACTCATATCAATGAAAGTCAAGCATATGAACAACAAAGGTAAATATAATACATACAGGTGTTAATTATATAACGTAAAAACGTTTATCGTGTGTCTCACTTGAAATGTTCTGCATGGAAACATCACGTATAGATGAAATGAACGTGACCAAAACTATAATACGTTTGCAAGAAATATATTATTGCATCACTTCTGATTAGATTTTGTGCGAATTTTTTTGACGTGTTTAAAGATACATAAATATTTGAGTTCTCTATCACGTATGTTATAATTATAGTTCGAACTTCCACAATAAGGCAGTATACGAATAAACAAAATACTACATTAATCATTCACTATAATTTCTTTATAATGCGATATTGGAATTTAATCTTTACAAATGTTTTTTTTATTTTGATTTATTTTTCTTTAATATTTTAAAATATCCTAATAATATTTATTTTATTAGACATTAATTTAAATATTTAATATAGACAGGATACCTAATATTTAAAATGTAGTGTAAGATCTACGTTTAAAAATTATATGAATAATGTGTATTAAAATTATTACGAATGTACTTTTTTAATTGTATTATATTTTGTGATTCAATTACTGTTTTACTTATTGTACAGTTACTACTTTAATCATCTTAAACACCATTTGTCTTAAAAGTTTATTTGAGTGAGCATTAATATAATTTTTACACGATAAGCGTATTGAAATTTAATTAAAAATAAATTGCCCCTAATTGATAAATTGACCAGAGCGGTGAACAATTAAACCACTGGAAGCCAATAAATTTTCCCGCGCAGTTAAAGTCAACGTACCGACGAGAACGTTGAGGGAGAGTATAAATCACGAATCAAGGAGGTGAGTCCGTTGTGATTCTTCATTCCGAGAAAGTGTGTACTATGTGCATCGGTGTCGAATGATTCGAATTCTTCGAATTATCAATTGTGGCTTCTTGCCATGTACGTAGTTTATATTTCGAGCACGTAAACCACTGGTATCATTCACAAAGTACAAATGCGAGGTATTGGAAAAAAGAAAGGTTATGAACGAGTATTCTAATGGCAGTGGGTTTTGACAAAAAGCAGTGCAAGTTTTAAAAGAAGATGGTATTTCAAACGTTAGTATAAATTTTCTGAAAATTAGTGGTAGAAAATTTTCTGTAGTAGTATTTGCATATAAAATTCAAACAATTCAGAAGATTCATTTTTCCCGCCATATAAATTCCTACATCTTACTATTCGTTACGTGATACATCTATGCACATGCGCATAAATAGCTTTTTTACTACCGCAAGTAAAACATTCAAATTTATAGTTGCATGCATATTTTAGCATCTTATTATCACAAACGAGAGCAATTTATTGAAAGGAAGAAACGGGAAGTAGATAAATATATTCAAATACTAAAATTTTATACTTGAGAATATTATGTGTGTACTATAAAATATATAATGTAAAATATGAGATATCTTAAATCGTAGAATTATAAAGAAGTGTTTATCAGTTGACATTACATTAAAAAGTTTATAGTTTAGGAAAAATTAACTTTATCATCACTTTTAATTTTAATTAAATGTCTTTCAAGCACTTTGATAGTTTTTTGTTAAATTATTGATGTTACGACAAGTTTACAAGATAATCATATTGTCTTTTGCATAAATTTACATATTTTATTGTTTTGTCGATTAGGTTTACCGGTAAATTTCATAGGTGACGTAAGTGTGAAAAGAAAAAAGAGGAAGCATGGAATTGAAAGGGCGACGTGTAACTAACAGTACGAAAATATAGGTCGAGACAACATCCAATAAAAGATGCGGGCTACATGTTCTTGAGGTAACGGCTGTACCCCCCACTTTTTAGAAATTTACAAAAAACGAAAGCAATCTTATCATACAAAAGGTATACTCTTTATTATCGCTTGTAATGGCTAACAAATGATATTTTTTGAACTCTTTGGTATAAAAAAAAAAACAAGGTATTTAACATTTAGTATGAACTTTTAAAATATTTAAACAAACACATTTTAGTCAAAAGCTCTTCGTGATATACTACACATGTCATATTTAATAAAAAGTTGTCTTAATAGGAAAAATATTGTTAAATTATTATTATGGCTAACATACAGTTTTATTTATTTATCTTTGTTGACAATTAATTATTTGCGAGTGTTTCAACAAGAAGCTATATTGTTACCTTGAATATTAACGAAGTACGGAGAGTTATCGCTATTTTCCTTGACGGTCGTTTGCACGATTACACTTTATGTGTAAAATTGGTTCCACACACTTTCATAGAAATTTGTACGTTTAATCACTCTCTTACCGAGTACCCTCTATGAAAAGTTTACACCGACTACGATAAACGATTAATTTTCTTTAATATCCGTACCTTTATATTAATTAAAATGTAATATAATAAAAAAAAAAAAAAAAAAAAAAAAATAAAAAAGAAGATTACAATAATCGAAAGGTGTGAGGAACACGCAACGCACCGTCGAAATTGTAGGGAACACAGCGCGAACAATACTGGTGACTTTTCAACTACACATGGTACAGCTTGAAAGTATTGTATGAGCGCCGCATAAATGTTAACCCTACATACATCGCTGTACAACGGTTGAGTCACAGTATAAAAAACATTTTAATCATAATCATTTTACAAATTTCGAGAAATATTAAAATTAATTCGTAATCGATGAGCACGTTCTGATCTCGAAATCATAATGATCTCGAAAGATTTCTTAAAACATTTTTGAGTCACTTTTTTAGATTAAGATAGTAATAAAAATATTCATTTGTTCGTAGATACATTAAATATAAGGAACGAATTCATAGTGAATGTTTTTAATTTTGACCATATATGCATATTATAACATAACGATATTATTATTAATTATATTAAAAAGATTTAATTACTATAATAAATAATTATAACTTTACATAAATCGAAGTTTTATGATCGTGATAGTATTTGAAAAACATAACAATATCAAATATTAAATATAATACAAATTTCCGTATAATTATAATTTAATGACTAGTTGTAAAAAAATCAACAGTCTTCTATATCTTCAAGTTAAAAATATTTTTTTTTTTTCTAATGCAAGTTTTTAAAGATGATAATTTGATAAGATGTTTCTGTGGTTTTGAAATTACTTTCAAAATTTCAGCAATGATAATTATTGAACTTTCAACGTATATATTCATTTTTAATAACTATAAAAGACTGAATTGTTAATAGTTCTTTCTAATTTCTAATAATTAATCTTGAAATGATGCGAGGTGATTCTGATATTATTTTTAAAATAATTATTTAAATTACTATAAATTTTCCAAAGTGTAATTGATCATTACAAAAGTTACATTTGATTGTCAATGTTCCAAAAAGTTTGTTAAATTATTATACATTATTAAAACTTACAATTCAAAATTGTATTGATTTTTTCTATATGAATGTAAGCAACCATATATAGTTTCCATTTGTGGCAATTTTAAGGATTTTGGGAAACTTTTAAATAGATTTTACATTATAATTTAGTTCCACATGTTGGCTTTTTTAGGGTCACATGCACTATATTTGTATAATAAAGAATGTCACATGAGATATCCTTCTCAAAATGGAAGGAATAGTAAGTGAGACGATAAATTCGTGTATAACAATATTCTATTCACAACGATGATATGATAAAGTAGCATCGAGAGGCAACAATTTTCTTCTTCGGGAACGGTACAACTTACATTATATATATATATATAATGTATAGTATATAACAACACTGCGGAAAGCTTGAAAACACTCCATTCAATTACATTTATTTTTCTTTTCTCGTCGTTTATAGGCATATTTATAACTATTTATATGTATGTATGTACGTATATACGTAATACATGTGTATATATATATATATATATATATACATATATATTATATATATTTATACACATATATATTATTTCCTAACGTAAAATTTATGTTATGCTATGCTACGTTAGAAACTTTGAATAATAATACTTTCCATTATCAGCACATAATCATTATCTTTCTCTCGATCACGAATACACAATAAATAAATATTCATTCATTCAATTATCACGCGACTATAATTTCACAAAAAATAATCGAAGTAGCAGCATTTGCAACCATTAATATTTCTGGTAAGAATGCTGGAATAGTTAAGAAAAGGACACTAACGTAAAAACAAATTTCGATTAGAATAATTAACATATGGATTGTATATGAGTTATATAAATATAAATTAATAATGCAATAATTTAACTATATGGAACTTTATGCGCGCAAATCCCCTTTTCTTTAACTATTCTCACGTGTTGTACAAAATGCACATTTACTCACATCGTATTCATAAGACTAAATTCTGTCGATTGCTTAATTTCTTTGTTTCAGTCGTGAAAGGCTTTCACGTTTCATATTTCTCAGAGATGTAGCTATATTTCAAAATTACAATCAATCGTTCTAAATACATTCAAGTATCTTGCAAAATGATACTTTCTATACTTAAATTGGGTAACTCAGCTTCGTTCCAATGGTGTGATACAGATTTCTGGTAATGTAAACACATACATTTTTCGCTACTGTATCGTAGTGTAGCTTTTCGGTGAGATCATCAGTGTACCTTCCTACTTTTGCTAATTTCTTGCGAAACACGAAAGTACTACCGTAGATTTATAAAATATCTGAAAGTGAACATAATTCACTACTATTTCTTTCACTATAAGCTATCCTGTTGATATTACAAGAATTTCAGGAAACGGTTTAGCAGTTAAAGTCAATATTATAACACTGGTTATATTTAGAATTGAGTTCGATATCGTCGTGTATAATGTGTTCATTGTTCTTTGTTGTATTGTTTGCTCATTCTTGCATTTGCATGTCACACGATTATACAAAAAGTTGATATTAGAAAACTAACTAATGTGATTAATTACTTTATGTAAAACCAAAAGGAGTGACTCAGCCGATGTACAGAGTGTTTCATCTTAGGCTCTGTTTTCTAAAATGTTTCGTAGTATTTTGACAACTCTAACTCGTAGCCATATCAAGAATAACGTAACATTTTTTATGTTTCGTTATTTTACAGTCGATAACATGACGGGGGGTGAAAGATACATGATCCTTCTACACAAACGTAATCATTAGTACATATTGTCACTCGGACAAAGTGGTACCAGCCACTTCTACATCACAACCAAGGAATCTAAAATTGACACCTTCAGTTTTTCTCACGCACACTCAATTTCATTCGTTATCTTTACCTTTCATCCACAAAAAAAAAAAAGAAAAAAAGAAGTAACAACAAGAAACTAAACACAGAAGCAGGTACTCTAAGAGTTAATCGTGTATCGTATGTTATCGATACAGATTTGATCACAAAGAGAGACAAAGGATAACGATAATAACGCTAGTACGCTTCCTCAGAATGCCCGAAGTGTATATGTGTGTATCAACAAAGTATATTGAAAAAAGACCATCGCATTATTATCTGTACAAATAATGTTGTTATTCTACTATCGACATGAATTTACGTATTCTATATAAAATATACAAATCCTTAATATACTACAAGAAAACTATGGCTTTTCGTATTTTAGTTTAGAAAACAAGTCAATTATTGTATGATTTAACTAACTTTAGATTTTTTTAAACATAATCACAACTAAAAATAAAAAGTATCGTTGTTTCAAAGTACCATTCGCCCCCTGCCATTATTAGAATTTCTTCGTTTCTTTTCTTTTCACATTCAATCTCGATATTGGTCAATGTACGTACTTTCATCAAATTTAGTTGATTCATTTCACGCAAATATAAATGCTACATGCTAAAAACGACAAATCATTCCGCATAGTGCCTTTATCGTCATGCGTTTACATTAGTGTGCAATAAATCAACTAAACTCAGTATGTATATATATATAAATATATATGTATGTGTATGAATTGTGTAGCGTGTATCTACTTTTGCAAGGGGCACTATTTATAATATTTACAAGAAATTAATGTGAGATTAACATACACACACATGTATATATACACATATACGATTAACGCCTGACAGATACAATATGTAACATATAAACAGTACTCTTCCCTTCGGTTATTTTCGCACTTATATCCAACAACTGATTAAAGCTAGCCGTAACAATACTAAAGTAAATAAACATTGTAAGGCATTAACACATACGTATACGAGCATTACTGTCAAACTGCAAAATTAACAATAGATTCGGTGAAATTAATTTGCAGTATATGTATATATATATATGTATATATGTACGTATATACACAAATATATATATATAATGATAGCATCTGGTCCAATGAATATTAAGTATTCATGTAAATAACCAATCATTTCTTACATATGTACACATTAGATATCAAGATTTGTAACATAACTAAAGATGACTCAACGTTGATTATTGTCGCTGTTCGTCATGTCGCAGATTATAATCTATGTGTTAGCAACCATTTCATGTTGTTCTGTGTCCTGCTAGAGAATAAATTTGCGACATAATAAACGTAGGAATTGTCTGGTCGTTTCTGCAAACCGTCGAGACAAATAATCGAACAAACAAGCGTAATAAAACGAAGGAGATAAATCTACGTAATCTCAATCGGTACAGAACTTTTTATAGCGCCTCAACAACGAAACATGCACATATAATAATACTAGTACTCCGCAAACGACTGAAGATGCATCATAAATACCGCAACTGGAAAAGCGCGGTAATTTTGCACATATATGATACGAAGATACTTGTATATAATGTACACAACTCTATATATATATAGAAGAGAGTCGCTAAATGGCAGTAGGGAATCAAATAAGCTGATACGTCGTAGTGCCAAGTCCTGTTTCCTTTTCAAGCACCGGCAAATCCATATACTTCTAGTACTCTAATCTCGAAATCGCCACTTGCACAAAGAGGTGGATTATTGAATGTAGAGCACCGATCTGTTTTACCGTATCTTATATTTTCATCCATCCATATTGCCTGACCGTCTCTAGAAATAATAAAATTATAATTTAATGAGTATATAAAAATATATAGTATTATAAAAATTATATTTAATGCTATCATTTATGTTAACTTTGAAAGTGAAGAAGACTTTTCAAATTTTTACAAAAATATTTCTTTTATCTTTTATCATAATAATCTATCTCATTATATATCTATTAACAAATATAATCAATTAATAATAATTTCCATTAACAATTATTAAATTTTTGGCTTATGGAATTTATGAATATATTATTTTATAATATAAACAAGAAAAGCTTACCCTCCACCAATTGTTATCATTTTGGAATCTGCCGCCATAAATAACTCAGCTGAATGATGGACTTTAGAATCATTGTGCGAAGAATCCATACCCACCCAAGGGTATTTTGCTCTTTCGGGATACAAGCTGAATAGAAACGTTTCACCTGTTCCGAAATAGGCTTGCCTTTGTCCTTTATCATTCTTCAAATTACGTTCACACCATCTTGTGGAGCAATAGGCACCAAATACCTTATAGCAAACAATACAAATGAATATTAATTAAATATTTTAAATGAGGACAAAGAAGTAAAATTATATGAAGAAAAAACTTACTTCATTATTACATGTTTTGATCATTAATAAGGTCGGTTCATGTTGCTCTACTCTCACGTAGAACGTCGTCAGAGAACAACCATGCTCTTCTGTTGTATACAATAGAATTGGTTGATACATGGTAATCCGCATAGGCAGCCAGGACCACAATGTGAATAACTGTCACAAAGCAAACAGAAAAAAAATTAAGAAACATATTTATTATAGTCGGTATTTATAACTGTGCAAACATTAGTTCTCAATAATTTTCTAGTTGTTCAAGTATACAGCAAACTAAGTCACAGCAGCGGTAGATCATGCGCTTGACTGAAAAAAAATTAATATAATTGGTGATTATAAAGCGAGACAATATAAAAAAACTATATTTATCCTTCTACTTTTAATAAAAAATAAATAAGTTTATTTATCAAATTAAATTTGTCTTTTAATAAATTTATTTAATAATAATTTATATTTACAAATTTAAATGTTATATTACACTCCTGAATATAATTGCTTATTTCTATTAATTTTAACGTAATGTAATTAAATTATTTTTTAAGTATTTCTTTTTTCGCATAAATAGTTTCTTATTGTTTTTTAGTACTACCTGCTTTAAAATAATTCTCACATACAAATGTCCTATTGTTTGTCACTAACGATATCATAACTTATAATTTATTTTTCTAAAAATCTGTAATATGAGTGCATTAAAGACACTATTAAGAAACAGAATTAAAGAAATAGGAAATTGAATATGTTTACACAAGATGCAAAAACATCATGCAAAAGGCAAGAACATCATTCAAATATAAAAATAATTTGCTACAATATAAATTATGATTTTTAGTGAATGAAGGTTGTGAAATGATAACTTGATGGAAGCAATGCAAATGATATGATAAGGTCTAAATGAACTGTAAAAATATACATATATACGTGACTATATGTGCTTTTAATGATATTCAAATATATTAAAATTATAACTACAAATTTGCAATATTTATTATAAATGTTGCACACTAATTACATCAAAAAATATCAAAAACGAATATAAAAAGAACGTAACAATACAAATTAGTAGAGGTTGAGGGGAAGGAAATTCAAGGAGAATTACTACAAATGCATGAATATAAAATAGAAATAATACATGCCAAATTAATAGCAAAGAATAGTAGAACTGAGCACATAACTGATTCAGAAGGAGTATGAGAGAGTGCACTGTTCTATTCAATATATAAATCAGGCCATACATCATTCAGTTCAACGTGTATACTCTGCAAGAATATTAAACCTCAGGCAAAAAATGAAGTACAACAGAGAAGTGATAACGAAATTGCGACTACAAAAGCCGACTTAATCAATAATTACTAACTGTATTTGTACCTTGAATGTGAATGACAATTTTATTTGTATCTATCAGGCCCTTTTTAAAACTTTATTGGAAGATCTGCTAAACGACTACCATCATTCAATCGACATGAAACGTAACTTACACTCTTGAGCTAGTATCTTTCTGATAATAGCCAAAGATGAAAATACCATGTACACTACCAATGTAATATGTACTTCAAGGCAATTGTATGTACACCAATAACGACAATATCGACATGCCACAGAGAGGCAACCAGCGAACTACAGAAAACTCTGCTACTGCCGAATTTTGTTTTATTTTTTTTTCGGATCAGTGTTGAACGACCGTAAGTACTTACATCAGGCATGTCTAGAATCTGGGAGCATATGCTTTGTATGGGATAAACGCCCATTGACAGAGCACGCGGTCCAGGACTGTGTGCACCCTACACCCATGACCATTAAATCCATCATCATTCCAGTAACGCAGCATGACACAAGACAACACAGAACCGTCAGTTATATTGGCATACAGCTTTGGTTCGACTTTACGTATCAAATGGGAATAAATATTATACGAAACACTGGTTAAAACCATCGGAGACACAGAGCATAACAGGAAACATCGGCCATAATTTTAAGTTTCTCGTCTAATGTCACACACAAAGTATAGAATATATGAATGGAATGCTCAACTCACTGTTAACCAGTGTAACCGATGTAATGATCTCAAAAAAGAAAATTAAATGATGTAATCAATGTGCTACGGAAGCATTGAAAATAATTAGTATATAAAATTAAAATATGTTCGTTTTGAACATTCGCTGTTTGATTTTTTTAATACAGATGTTACAACCAAACTGATACTGAACTGCAAATAGACTGGAATTTATGAAGCACGCTGCTGCATTCACTGATCGAAACTGATGTTGCGATTTGAAGCGTTTTCAACAGCTTTCCTTTCGCTTTTCAGCCTTAAGAGACAAGTTCGACCATCCTATCGATCAATGACAAGCAAACACATTTCGTGTAGCCTACCAGTAACAGTCACCATCTATATATTGAATTTGTCAACATTATTTTTCACATAATATGTATGTAGCAAAGAATGAAAGTTTTCGTCAGAATGTACAGATATATATTTCTTTTATTAATACATTTGATGTGTCATATTTGTGGAACACTGAAAGCCAGTGAAGACCTAATAAATGGAAGATACGAATTTCATTGGAAGAAATCTTTGCTATTCTCTATTGTTCAAAAAGGCAGTAACTGCAAGTGGATAGACGGTAACAGCAACAAAGCTGGCACGATAAGTGTAACAATGGGTGAGTATGAATGAATGTAACAGGTATAGTAGTTCAGGAACAGAGGGCAGAGCACATGAAACTAACAACACATTTCCCAAAAAGATAATTATACGATACCCTGTCTTTGTATTCACTCTTTCTGAAAACAAAGTGAATCATTGAACAGCTTTTGCATAATTTGCATTCTAATACCCTAAGAAACTATTGCTTAACCCATCATCTTTGAAAAATGACTACTTATATTATTCTACTGTAAGAAACATTAATCACGTAAACTATTAATACTAAACCTTTGAACCTGCAACATTTCTCACAAATAAGGAATCATTCGCAACATTTAAAGATAAAAATAATGGGCTCACATATATGTACATTATCTTATGAATATAATTTTATATTCTGAAAATAAGTGAAAGAATAACATTATTAACATGCCAATATCAAGTACTACAAAATTAACAGAGTATACTTCATAAGAATCGATCAGAAGGAGAAACAACCAGATAGAATGAAATAAAATCTTAGCATGTACGTGAGTCCATACTTTGTTGGAAACAACTTGTCAAATATTCGGTGTTTTACACCGATTTTAAGGAAAGAGGAGTACAGATAACATACTTCTCGTATCGTGAGCGTGTGCGACATCATCTGAATGTTGACTTGTGACTGGCTCGTCGGTAAATTGTCTGTGGATCGTGATCTAACCAATGATCTGGATCCTGTTAAGACGCTTCTACTTTTTAGAGACATTTCTGTGCGTAAAAATACCCTTGATATGTATGCTGAGCTAAGTCCACGTATTCCAAATGCGGTACGTAAAAATTTAGCTGACGTTACCTGCAAGTTTATGAAATGGGAAATTAATTTATTTATAATTAATATAATTGGTTATCATTATCTAGATGATTTTTATAAAGAGTGTTTAAACTAAGAAGTAGAAACTTTAACTTAGAAATTATCATTTTTTATTATTACTTTTAAAGAGCCAAATATTTCTTCAAGATTGATACTAAAATAAATTTTGACTCGTATTTAAATGAAAATGAAACAGATTCATTTGACTTATTATTTTCCATAAACAAGTACTGAGAAAGAGCTATAATTAGTGAGTTTCTTTGAATAGTATTGATGATGCACTGACAGCTAATGTGCTAAAGAATTTTGTACACTAATACCTACCGGTATTTGCCTGCAGAACTTCGAGAGAGCAGCGTCAATACCGTTCTTCGAAATTTCGTTCATCCATTCAGAGTTTTGCAATGATGAATGTTTATAGAATAATAAAACTATAGCCATTGCTACTCGATAGAAGACCTGAAACAAACAATGGTAAATTAACACTGGATCAAAAAGAATAATTTTGGTTCTTGTTTTGCAAACATATAAGATATTACATTCTAAAAAACACATTATGAACAGTCAACGTGCAAAAATGCACGCATCGAACCAATTTCTCACTGGCACACAGTCAACACTTGGATTTACCATTCACACTATTCCTGGAAGAACATTCCATATTATACATATCTTTTGCTCATCCTTGTTTTGAATCAACGCCAATAATACTTTTTTAATGTGCCATGAACACATATGATAAAAAAAGAGTGAAAATGTTTCAAGTTGATACCACTTGAATCTTGTAAATACAGACCTTGATGCCTTCATGAAGAAAACAATCCATAACCCTGACTAGATGCTGGAAGGGAAGAAGCTGCAGAATCCACCACATCCAATCCATGTAAATTCTTTCTGCTCTTGATCCAGAACAATGCCTTGCTAAATGTACTGCTGCTGATTTCTTGAATGTAAAATTACATCTCTATATATTTTTCAAAGTGCAACATATATCTGACTTAAATGTATAGATGTAATCATCTTTCTTCAAATACCAAAGATATCAAGATATTTTAATTTGAAGGAAAATATGTATTATTCAATATAAACCTTTAACAGGGAATTTTTAATACAGGAATTTTAATTTTGACATTAATTTTTCATATAAAGTCGTATATTTAAGTAAAATATCCATAGTAGAATGTATAAGAAGAACAGAATAAAATTTGCTGGTACCATATAAAAAATTAAAAGTGACATTGGAATCTCTGTAATAACAGGTTCTAAAAGAAACAAAAAATTGATGTTATATCGTATGACGTTTCTTCATTACTTTCATAACTTCTAAAAGCATGTTCTTTTATGTTTAGATTACTAAGCATCAGAAAATTCATGATTCATTCTTCAAACATTAAGAAATAATTTCATCTATACTTGTTCCGTTCTAGTCTGTTTAATGTAAAAATGATTTGCATTCACTGACAGCTATAACAACACCTATCATTCAGAAGACCATTTAAAAAGGAGGTTGAAGACATGGCTGCAGTTTCCTAGTAAACATTGTATCTATAAGTAAAATGAAGATCATTTCAAGCCAAACAGGCCAGAACGGTAGGAACATGATTCATCTTGGACAACTTGTACCTAATGTTTTACGTACCACGTGCTTCTTAGTAATTTGTTCTACAGTTTTCCAGGTAACCTCGTAGAGGAGCTTGGTTTGCGTAATGAACATCTTCTCTTTAGCTGCGACCAAGCTGGCCATACAATGATAACACTCCTCCTCTGCAACAGATGGAAAACGGTAATCTCGTGAACATTTCTGATTTCGGTCTATTAATAAAACTGGGATTCCATCCAACCGCGTGCCTAACATCTTAATTTATGCGAACAGGCAAGAAATTCGACTTACGGCACGCGATGTGAATTTCCATTGTACTGGTGGAACAAATGAGAGGAGGTTCTTGGAAAGCTCTCCCTTCTTTTATCATATATATATACCTAATCTCGAGGTGAACGATTATTTATTTATACACTCACCTGGCATAAAGTGAAGAAGAAGAGCCGTGATGGGATAGAGAGAAGGACTATAGGTGATATCGGGACAAGCATATCCTAGCACAGACACAACCCTGTCTGCAACGCTCCTGCCTTTTCTCGTCAGGTGGTACGACAGGCAATGAGTGCTGTCCACGAACGGCGGTAGCATGATTGATTTTTCCGGCAGCTCTGTAAACAAGTAATTCCATGCATTAGTCGTTGCTAAAAACAAATAAGTTGAATGGGAAGTCCGGAGAACCATTTGGTCTAATGAGAACCGATGACAAGTTGTCAGTAGTAGTATCTGATAATTTCGTAGACCTAAATAATGTATATTACATCAATATATTTTAATATTCTATGACATACTGCACCAGAGAATTATATGATTTTCAATCATGTATGAGGGTCGACAGGTTGTCATTGAAGAATGCTGTACCTTGAAAGCTTTCATTCTTGATTACACATAAACCCTTAGGGAATAATTATGCAGCCACTACATTTTGCATTTTGCAGTATTAACAATAAACTCTATTTAAGGAAGAATAAAAATTAATAAATCCGTATACGATATAGCAAAATATGACGAAGAATGTCATGGAATATTAATGTATCTAGTTTGAATTAATCGCTTAAAATGAAACTGGACTATTTTAAACTTTCTGGTCGTCGTATTTGTCTGTTTATAGCGGTAGAATTTCGTGCTTATTGACCATTTTTCGCATCAAGCGAGTAAAGGTGTTACATATCATCTTTTTCTAACAATAAATACACGTCTATGTGACGTGGTACACTACAATTCGAATATACGGACTCTACAGATCGCATATCAAATTTATGAAATCACGCGAACTCAAGATTAGCTTATGATGACTAAAGTAATGCTTTTATACACGCAGAAAGGAAATCTATTAAGCACGCAGTAAACATTGTTATTAATCTTTTAATTTCGAATTCATTGGCAGAAAAGGTAAATAAATCGGTAATAATTTTGCGTGAAATATAACATAGATTTACTGCGTGAAATATAACATTAACTCCGATGGAATTCAGTATAACAAAAAAAGGAAGAATGTTCAGATATATGAATTCTTTAAGGCGATGCCACGTATGTTTTCACATCCTGTAAAGTAACTAAACATTATAACGTAGAATAATAATATTGTAACTAATCGATATTCTACAAATATCGGTGACTATTAAAAAACAAATAGCACGAAAAGAATAATATATGACTGAAAACGACTGTAGAACCTTAAAGATGCATGGTATTTACATTGTAAAAGAGGAGTAACATACAGCTGTGGGAGAATTATAGGATGTTTTGAACTCTCGTTTTTGACCTAGCCAAAGAAAAGTTACTCTATATTTGAACATCAAAGAAAGCGAACCATTCTGAACGAGCCAGTAATTATAAACAGTTGGTTAGCGTGATGAAATCAATTCCAATGGCGATATACAAGTTACAGTTTTCATAACGTGAAACAAATATTTCAAAATGTTATAAATATTTGTAAAATATTTATGTGGTATTCATATCATAATCAGTAAGAATTCAACATTAAAAACTATTCGATAATTATCAGCTGATATATTTCTAGGTGATACAGAGGCAAAGAAAATTTTTGTTCAACAAAAATTGCATAATTTGAAGTGAACTGCTATCAGTAGCTCTGTTAGTTAATGTTGCGGTTTTCTTTTCTAATTTTATTTGCTGGAATATCACAGAAGCAATCACTTTTTGGTACGCTCATAAGATAATTATAGTCAACTTATTTCTGCAGAAAAATTCTAAGTCGACTTAACCCTCAAATAGAAGGGTTAAATACATGTTACGTAACAGATAAGATCCGGTTAAAGAAACAGGTAGAGCATACGCTTTATCTAACGAAAACATGCAACTGTACTTGGGTTTGCGCTAAGTTGATTTACTATAAAAGCTGCAAAATAAGTACACAGTTATTTAATTATAAATGTTATAGTAATTCAACTATTTTAGTACTTCAGTCGAGCAAGAAAGAAAAAAGTGATAAATCATTTTAAGCTTAGGTAATACGTTAAGTAAGAAATAAAAATAGATCAGATGGAAAAGAAAGAAAACCTTCTTACGTGAAACAGGATAACTTTTGCACAAATTTTAACCAAAAAACATTCTTGCTGTACGTGCAAGTTTCACATATCTAAATGCTAATAATACATATCTGTGTAGATAGATTTTCAGCACGTTATTATTAGAATGGCAAATAACTTTGTACAACTTCAAACTTTAATAACTCCTAGAAAACGCAACAAATTCTTGTGAATTTTCAAATGCACTACACATAATTGCAACTGTGTTAATCGGCTATTTAAAATCATTCGAATTTATGATTCCTGTAAGTATTACAGGTTTAGTTAGGTAGTATACAGGTTTATGATTCATCGTAGCAACATTTAATTTTGTTAAAATAGAAAAAGAAAAACGGAAAAATTATAAGAACTTTTCTATTAACTAATTATTCCACAGATAATTGTTTAAGTTACGAAAGATTTCCAAGAATTTTCCTGTGGATTGTCTTCACTAATGAACGATAAATATGTGCTGTAGTTTATTTGTTCCTTTATTACGAGACACTCGTTCTTAATCCCGAGTACATATACGAAATCTCAATATTAACCAAAGAATTTGGGATCACTTTTGTTGGAAGAGTTTTATTTCCATTCTTTTCTTCCAACATGTTTTACAACAGCTAATTACAAAGCGTTTATACTTCTTCCAAAGTTTATGGGCTTTCGCTTTGCTCCGATTCGTGTTACTATTTTTAAATAACTCCATTAATATTCACATGAACTTGGAGTCGTATTTAACATTTGACCTAATTTTAACAGTATAAACTTCTTTAAACGAATGTTACAATGATCTCCCTTTTTTAAATCGTAGAAATACCTCTTATCCCTCAAAATTGTGTAATCTTGTAATAAAATCCAAATTCCAAACTGGCTAGTATCAACAGACAGTGTGAACAGACAAACCAACTCTGGTCCTGTAATATTAAAATTCCGCCATAAGACTTGCAACAACCAGTTGTTATAGACAAACCTGTAGTTCCGAACACTTGATTGACCATGTCCCAATAGAATCCATCTAGCATGTTTTTGCCATGTGCGTGCTGATTGCAAAGGGCTGGCCACAATTGCGCCCTGATCCCGTTGTTCAATGGCCACGCGTTTTCCCTTATGATCAGCTTAGCCTCCCTCTTCCTGCCAGCCTGGAGAAGCGCGTTGACCTCGTTGAAGGTCTTCAGCGCTTGCTTCTTGCTGGTGGGCGACTCCGGCTGTATGACGATGTTCGTCGTGTCGACGTGCGGCGGGAATGCGTCGTCGACATCGACATCCGCCTCCTCCTCGAGTACCGGCAGCATATTCGGCAGATTGTCCGTCGAGGAGGGTGTCTGTGTGACTAACATCGCAGGCGGCGACTACGGCCTGAGATTCTTCATAATGCCGTTCCCCGTACGCTTTATTCTAGTATTTACGTCATGTCCTGGGATGTTTCAATTTTCATCTGAAATCAGGAGAAAATGAGGTGTAGTTCGTTTTGAGGTTATGAACAAATAGGATCTTCATTAATTTATAGATATTACGAATACAATAGAAGGTAAAATATCTTTTGGATTGGCTCGCGATTAAGGAAAAATAAATATCGCTTAATTCGGATTAACATTATGATTATTTTTTATTCCGATTAATTGGACAAATAATAATACGGGATATTTTGTTTCAGAAGCATGGAAGTGGAAAGAAGTTACAAGAAAAATTAAGTACCGATTCTACTACTTGGTCTTTTCAGAGGTATTTATTTTAAAAATAATTATTAAACATTGTTAGGTTAGATGGAACGTACATTGGTTAATGAAAATGTGCATGTATAAATAACAATTACTTATAAATAACGTTATTAAATGTTAAGCAGATTTTTTTTAATGCAATCATCTTAAATACTTAAAGAGGATTAGAGTCAATATTGAATTGCACATGTAATAATTAATAATTTAAATACATAATGAGTAAATAGATGTCTCTAATAAAAGTGTTAGTAGGTACTGTTATTTAATTATATTTGTTGATTAAGTTTTCAATGAATATAATTCTATTTACTTCGAGAAGAAGCCAAATACGTCACGCATACTTTATTAGAGATGGTATATAAAAATACCATGTTTTGATATCTATTTTTAAGTTTGCGCATTACTGAAGATGGAAAAGTTTTGGTATGCTTGATATTTACTTTAACAATTAATCGAATATTAATTGTTTTTATTTTTCAGTACATTCTTTTGCAGTTCTTTCTACTACATGGGTATTTCCAGAATTAATTACTATGACTGAGTGGAATTTGAATTATTTGCAATAAACTAGATTGATGCAGTTATTATATTCAGGAATTTTACAGTGAAGTATTTATATATTTTTCACGGTATTTATTATAATCTTTCCTCGTTTAATCATCATTTCGAGTATAATTGTACTGCATTCAAATTAATTCACTATTATGCGTTTCATTTCTCATATAGGCGCAGTGTGCACTGCTATACCGACGAATTCAGAACGATAAGCCAGCGATATATGAAGACATAAGTTGACGTAAACATAGAATGTTTGTTTCCCTTTGCTAGATGGCACTGTGCAGATAATCGAACGTTCGATTGAACAGTCTTCCACTGCATTTGCTATCTAAGTTACACCTTTTTTACAGAAAAGGTGTAAAAGCAATTTTTTAATTCAGTACTGAAACACTTATATACACACATATATCACCTGTTACAATTCTGTGGATGATTTTGCAATTGTGTAACTTTTTCGATTTTCTAATTATTTATGTTCACTTATGAAAATCGTTTTGCGACTCGAGTTCAAGACCGAACGACGACATACGTTTCCAAGAATCTTCCGTAAACATTCCCATAATAACCGCGACTGTAGTTAAACGTATCATCGCTTGGGTCGCGGTGCACTTAATCGCGCTAGCGCTCGTTCGAGCGAAAAGAGGAGCGAAAAAAATAAGGAGGGGAAGAATTATCTGAGCCAACGCATCTCTCGCGTTACCGTGTGTAATATGCTTTTCGTTGACGTCGATTTGCCGCGGTGCGCTGGTTACTTTGCAACCGAAATCAATTGTCCCCTGTAAAGATGCCAGCATAAACAAGACTCGCGACCAAGCGTCACTTCTCGTATTTCTAAACGATGACAACAATCGTTCGCTCGGAACTTTTTTATTTCTCCATTCATATGACTCAGTGAGAAAAACTTCACAGGTAAGAAATGAAACGAATTTTTATAATTTCTGTCATGAGAAATTCTCAAAGGTATAAGTTCATAATATTAAAAATATATATATAATAATATAAATTTATTAATCATACGTATCGAAATGAAAATTAATTGAAAGAATTATGCTGTAATAATATCCATTTTCAGTCAAATTTCGACATTACCGACAGTGATGCCAACATGAGGTGTAAAAATTACCGATACGGTCAGAACGAGAATCGAACGGTGTTAGTTGAAAAGCATGGTGGTAAAGTTCGATTTGCGCGGGACGGAAAGTGTCGATCAGACAATGACCTCGACAACGACATGTTTCTAAAGGAGTCAGCCAGCAAGAGACAATGGATATATAATATCGCCTATAATTAGCCTCGTTAAAGCTGTCTCTAATAATAAGCAAAGTAGCCAGATGCAAAACCGTGAGCGACGATAATCTGTCGGTTACTTAATGGTTATTAATAAAATGTGCGAGTTATCTTGCAGCCACAAACACGTTTAATGCTTATCAATACACCATGTGCGACTTGGGAACGTTACTGCACACAATCCGCAGATAGACTGTTCGGCAGATAAAGTCTTTTACGACGATGCTCGTTGTGCTTGGAGGCTGCGCGGCAAACGGAATTCCCTTATCAAGACATGTTTAACCCTTTGCGTACGGCACATGGAATTAACCTCGGTAAACAAATTACTAATGGTAAACAAACGTTGAAAAGTTCAAACAAAGTGGAATTTTTATATTTAGCAAACGCTTTAGAAGTATGGAACATGATAGTGAGACTTATTTCTAAGAGACAGTTATAGTACTTTCCTTTACAAATAATTAAGTCTATAAATATCTAGCATTCAGAAAAATTTTTGTTTATACAACAGAATGATTATAGTTTTCAACAAGTAACCAAGTATCAACCATATTAACAAAATTAACATGTTCATCATTCCACCGATCATTTCACTATATAATAAATTTATTACGTTAATTGTCTGAGAGAAACATTATTAACTCAATGAATTATTATATAATTAATATTCAATTAAAGTCTACTATAATATAATTAATATCTAAATAAAACCTATTCTTATTTTAGAGAAAGAAGGGTATGAAGAAAAAGGATGAAATCATTATGGCTCGGTAGTGTCTGTTTTCTGAAAAAGAAAATGCTCGTTTGATGCTGGTCGATTAATAATAACGAAACGCGACGCTGCAAAGTGTGCCGCATGAAACCAGACATCTATTAATATCAGCGTACGACAGTTTGGTGCGCGAAGAAAATTGCTCTCATAAGAAGACTAAAGCGGTTTGCATAAAATTTTACAATGAATTCGACGATTGGATTCCATTCTATGGGATGAACACACGCACGAGCAAAGGGGACTCGCGGTTGCCGCGGCAGATAAATATTATTGCAACTCTCAAGCGCTCGAACCACTTGATAGTATAAATATATCTCATCGGAGACGAGGGCAAACACGCGAATGCGCCAACGTTGCATTGTTGAATACGCTAAGCAAACAAGATCGGGCCTAGTACCGTGGTAACTGACAAATTTGCATAATTCCATTAACTCATGATATGCGGTGTTCGCTTCGTAATTCAACGTATGCCTCCTAGATGAAATCTTACTTTCGATTCTACGATGATCGCTGTCGAGTGCAACAATTATTGCACGGGACAATTGTCGACGCTGTTCCGAGTACTTAATTAGACTATGCAGGCTGTTGTTGCTCGATGACACATCTCTATTGGGTTTCTCTGCACGGATTCTCGTGGATTTCTGTTTGTTAACTGACTGACTAATATACGTATGGGAATACCAATGAAATGCGTATGATAAAGTAATGTCTGGTTATATGTTTTATCTTCTTGGATACTCTTTATATAGACTATTCAGAAAAAGGTATGACTAATTTGAATAAAACATATATCTATGTTTATTTCTCAGCTATAAAAATTTAACAAGAACTAGGAAAATTGAGAAATAATGAGTGAGAATATTTGTGGATTATTGTTTATATTTTCATGTTTATTTTTAATAAATATTATACATCCATAGGTTTGATACTGTCTTCTTCAAACACTTTGTACATGTAGGTCAGAGATAAAGGGAGGACTTATGGATTTAAAGATAGCATAAGAATCCTCATTTTTGTTCATAAAATATTCAGGATGTTAATAATCAGAGAAATAAATACGGAAAATACAGATTTTTATGAGAACTTTAAAAAATACATGTACTGTTCCGGTGATAAGAAATAACGCCGAGAACACTATTAATTAAATGGAAAACAGAATTAAACTACATCAAGAAATAAACTATAATTATTTGAAGATTGTCATAATCTTCGTTTAAAAAATTAGATAAAATTGTTCACACAATTTTATTTTATATATGAATTTAATTCTAACTATTCAATTTTAACGAGTACACGTGTACTCTAGAAAAGTCATATCTTCAAGTCATATCTTCTGTAAATTAATATTTTTACCAAAGCACGAATTTTAACCATTGGTATTAACAAATATAATCTCGATGATATCAAATTTTACTTATAAATCTGAGTGTATCGAATTGAGTATAGAATTTTTGCTAGTCAACTCGTATAATCTCAATTTATTTTGGCAAGATACACTGTTATTGTTTAACTTCTCAAACAAAAAGGTTTCATGAATGGTCAAATCATAATGTAGTAATAAATTTTTGTCTATTCTCGTTTCAATTTATAAGTATTTTATTTCAGTAGATAATGGCTACGAAGTATAAATCAAATCGTAACTCTCGGTAGATACGAGGATGAATGATTCACATAAATTTTCCGAACTATTCAACCAGATTGATTGCACTAGTCGGCTATTAAAAAGTCGTCAAATTTGTGCCTACGATTTATTACTAATTTTTTAATGAAATGTATAAATATTAAATCAGATAAGGACATGGACTAGTTCCAATATTTACTATTCACTTTTATGTCGTACAGTGTGTGATCTACTATCAATCTAAGCATAGTCGTACATTTCCTTAAATTGAATTTAATTACGCTCTATCTATTTATAAAGGGATAAATGATAAATATTTTGTTTGCATAGTAATTAAATGATATATAATCGTGAAGATAGTAATGATAGCCTTTGAAGTATTTATTGAAGAGTATTCCTTAGTATCTAGAAATATGAATTAATTTATTTCACAATTATAACTTATATGTACAACTCATACATATACAGAATAGTGCACATAT